TGATGTTAAACTCTGAAAAGAGAAACATTGGTATTAAACCCTGCAGAGGAAAAGCATATGATGGTGCTTATAATATTTGGAATTAAAAGTGGTCTTCAAACTCGAATAAAAACGCTCTCACCAAATGCCATTTATGTTCATTGTTGTGCTCATGTTTTAAATTTGGAGACCATTGTATTGATGTTCAGATGTTTTTAGGAACAGCTAAAAAATTGTATACGTATCTAACGTCTAGTTTACGTAAAAAAAAAACGAATTTTTGATACAAGATGAGAAAGTAGGAAGCATGCAGTTGATGCTGATCTTGAATCTTTTTCTGCTATTCTAGCAACTCTAGAAGATATAAATCTTGTAGAATCTAAAGAACATACAGGAAATGTTAGAGCAGAAGCTATTGGACTTTAATAAAAAAACATTCATTTGCTTTTCTAATTTTATTTTTGATAAAGTTGTTGGATAATCTTTTAGTGTTATCCAACTATTTGCAACGAGAAGATATAGGTGTTTTATTTGCAAAACAGATGATTGATGTTACAAAAAAAAAGTTTGTAGATATGAGAAACGATCAAGCTTTTGAAGTTCTACATTTAGCAGACAAATCATTTATTAGTGAAAAATGTGCCAAACTAGATGTAGAATCTGAGTTTAAAGAAAACTCGTCATTCTTTAAATTCAGTAAGCCTAACATCATGCCAAAAAGAAAACGCATGACAGGAGAGCTGTGAAAAGATAAAAGAGTCGATGATCCAACTACACACCTAAAATCTAAAACCTACTTCAATTTTTGGATACAATTATAACCCAAATAAATAAACGATTTCACGACTTTATTTACACAGTTACACATTTTGATTTCCTTGATCCGTCAAAATTATTTAAAGAAAATATAAATTCATTTAAAAACTTATATCAAATTTATTGTAAAGACGTAAATACTGAAGAAGCAGTCGCAGAGTATAAGACTTTCAATGATGTGTATGCATTGATATTCTCATCACTGACAATTGACATACAATTGAAAGATGTACTCCAGTTCTTGATTGAGAAACAGATGGCATTCGGTTTTCCTAACTTGTCTATACTTTACAAAATCTTTTTGACTCATCTTTTTGTTACATCTACTAATGCTGAAAGAAGTTTCAGTTAACTAAAGATTATAAAAAATTATCTTCGATCAACAATGACAAACGAACGTCTTTCTGGATTAGCATTAATTTCTATTGAACGTGAGCTTGTTGAAAACATTGGCATTGACTTGTCGATAAATCGTTTTGCATTAATGAAATCTCTCAGAATTTGTGTAAACTACGTGAAAAGTGAATTTTTTTTTCTAAATTCTAACTTTTGTAATATGTCTAGTTAAATTTTTTTTTTAATGACCGAACTATTTCAGTAATATTAAATGTTTCTTATTTTATAAAAGATAATTGTTAACTAAAATAAACAAAGGAAACTAAAAAAAAATTAAGTTATTTAGTGTCTTATATATGTATTTAATATGTATAATAAAAAATACGTAAAAACATTTATAAAGTGTTTTAGTCATGAAAATAATTTCTGGGGTGTAAAATATCACACCCAACCCTGGTCGCCCTCTATTTATTGACTTGGCTCCCCCTCCGCGACACTAAACCTCAATCCGCCACTGGACTATTTAACTTCAAATAAAATACGTACACCCATTCTTAATAAAAAAACAGATAACAACATGCTTCCCTAACTTATCTACACTCCATCGAATTTTTTATCTGCTTATCAAATCGACAAGACTCTTCCTTTTACATCTGCTTATGAAATAAATTTTGAAATTGAGTAGTATGCAAGTAATTTAAATTACAGACACCAATGGCGATTTAGACTATATTCCGGAGAAGCTTAAGTAGACTAAAGATCAAAAATTATTCGTGATCGGCAATGAAAAAAACAATCCTAGCGGGCACAGAATGTCCGCTGGACGTCTTAAAGACGTTCTCCGGATATGCGAGGTCCACAAAATTTTGTATCGACGTCCTACCGACGACTGTGCCCGCTAGGATTGACGCTTATTTTAATTAAATGTGAGATTGCTGAGTACATTTAATTTGAATAATCAATAAATTATTTTTCTTCCACCCAGCAAGCACAGACGTCTGTTAGACGTCTATACAATGCCATATATACGTCGCAAGCCTGTATGACGTTCTTAAGACGTCCAGCTAATGTTCTGTACCCACTCGAAATAAAATCTCGCGAAAATTTTTTTTATAAAATAGCAAGGAAGTAAATTTCCTTCTTGATGCTTGCTTTCTGTAATATGTGTAGTATAAATATTTTTTTAAATAACCAAACCATTATGGTAATATTAAATGCCTCTTTTTTATTTAATGATTTTTATTTAATTAACCAATGTAAACTTATTTATTATTGTGATTGTTTAGTGTTCAAGACTTACTTAATAGTTATGATAAGAAGCACATAAAAGCATCAATAAAATATATTTTTCACAAGTGCAGTTCTTGAAAAAAAATTTTCTAGGGTTAATGTGCTACCTCCGACTCTTGTTGCCCCATACTCATTCCTTTTTTTTACTATTATTGATTTAAGGTCTAACAAAATTTAACTGAAGATTTAGCAAAGTTTTACTAATAAAGTTTTTACACAAAATTGTGAATGGCTTACTGCATACTGCAAATTCTATGCAGTTGGACTACCTAACGCAAAATGTCTTTGATGTGGGGCCTCTCAGAAGTTCCAATTAATTAATGTTATCTAAAGTAAAAAATAAATTTTCTTTCCCTCTATTTAGCAAATAATAATTAATAAAAATTGCTTTATAAGAAAGAGATTCGGGATTCGAAGCAAGCTCTGGACGTATTTAACACTATTAATAAGGAAAGAGGCGTAAACTTCCTATTTAAATGCTCTTCTTCTGTGACAAGACCGTAAATTCTTATGGGATGACGTCTTTAGTTACAACACCGGATCCTCGTAGACTTAGTTGAAATAAACAAGTCAAAATAAAATTTTATTTAAAAAAAAAAAGAAAGGAATATTTATAGAATAATTTATTGAAAAGTATATAAAAATTCATCCATAATGTTGTAAAACAATTTGCAAGATAAAAATTATCTTGTTCTTTGTTCTTTGTTCATAATATTTTTATGTTGTAAAGAAAACTAAGTTATTAATTAAATAATTGCAAAGTGATGAAAATCTTTTTATATTTTTTTACCTAAAAATTTATCACCTATCACCTAAAGCTTTTTTATTTTTATTATATAGAACAATCTTATTCAAACCCTCGCAAACTCAGATCAATTTTTATTTATTTTAGTCACCCTTCACCCCTCCTTAAATTAGATATATAAAAAAAGATTCGTACTAAAACGAGTATTGTTGAAAACCAGGTTTAGGAATAGGTGGTCCGGATTCGAAGCTGGCTCTAACCAAATACGTATAAGACTATAGTTATAAGCTCTATAGTATAAGTTTGCACTTCGTTGCTTACAAATTATGCGTATTTGGCTAGAGCCAGCTTCAAACCTGGGCCACCTGTTTTTAAGCCTGGATTCAACAATACTCGTTTCAGGTATAGAGCTGTCGTAGCGCAGTGGTTAGCGCGGTTGCTTCAGAAGCAACCAAGTTTTATAACATCGGTAAGAAAGGAGGCGTGAACTTCCTTTCAAATGGTCTTCAGCGTTGCTCTGTGACAAGATTGTAAGGACTTTGTGATAAGATTGTTAGGACTTTTTGGGACACCTAAAATAAATAAATTAAAAATAAATAAATAAATAACTTCCTGCCTTAATACTATTTAGCTATGCTCTGTTATGACTTCTTAGAGCAGCAAAATGTATAATCTAATAAAAATAAATATTTAAAAGCGCGACCAAACCGTTTTGCTAATGAAAATTGCGTTAATCCACGCCGTAAATGCAGCTTTTAAAACATTGACAAAATAAACAAAGAGAAATCACAAATGGAGAAATCACTATAAAGTGAATTACAATAAAGGAAAATCACTCTAGAATGTATAAAGGGTCTAGAAAGCGGATCATTTTTAAAAATATATTGCAAGTATAAACTTTAAAAAAATTTTATTTTTCAAAAATAATTATTTAAACCTCGTATGAAATTCTTTGAAATTTTAAACGGTATTGTACAAAAATATAACTTTCGTTTAATTCATGTGGAAAAAACAATTGATGGTTTTATTTTTTTAATTCTTTATTTTTATAATAAAAAATATATTCAAGTTTTTATTTTCGATTGTTTGTAAAATTATATTTAAATTAATTAATAATATTGTTTACCATAATAATTCACGAAAAACAGTGAAACAGATAGTTTGAAGGGAGGTTTATAATTATTGCAAGTAATATAAAATTTCCAGAAAATATTCAGTATCCTAATATTTGCGTGAGAAACACTTCATTTCATGTTTACCAGACGTTATTGCGTGTCTGGTAATATAAATATTTTAATTATTAAAAATTTTGTTTTTTTGAATTTTTTTTATTAAAAAACTTTGGAAATAATATTTTAGTATAGAAAACTATTATAGTTGATATAGATCTATACTAAAGATGCATCTTCATAATACTATATTTCTATTCTAAAGATATCTTCATAATACTATAGACCATAATCTTTTTAGTAAATCTTGATTTAAAAATGAAAATTTGGATAATTTTTCTGAGAAACAAGGTTAGAAAAATTTAATATTGTGACTGCTCATTGCACACATTTATTTTTTCAGAATTTTATTTTTATCCACTATCTATCAAACTTTGCATTAATATTTTATTAATTTTACAACAAAATTGAATTATATATACAACAAAATTGCATTTTAGAACTTTGATCTGCTCACAATCAATTCAAATATTTGTATAGGAATTCTGTAAGAAAAAAAGTCTTAAAATACTTATGGTTAGGACTGTAACTCTGTTTTTATTATATTTTATATGTTTAGCGTGTTTTATATGTTTTACGTGTTTTTATATATTATATTTTATTTTTATACACAATAAAGATGAATGAAAAACTTAGTTTATATCAAATTTTACTTGCTGTTGGCATGCTTCTAACAGGTTCAATAAACACACTATCAAAGAAAGCACAAAATCAATGCACGTGAGTTAATAATTGGTATATTTGAATAAAGCAATAGAACTTTCAAATTTGTACTAGTACATAAAATATAGTAAATAAAATGAATAAGAAACTCACTATTCCAAGTGTATGTTTATGTGCGCACACAAACAAACATACACCCATATACATACACACAATGGTATGGCTACTGGGTTGGAGGCTCCCCCCATAACCAGACAGTTTTTCCATTAGATATTAACAAGAAAAAAAAAAAGTCTCCTTAAATTTGATCCTAAATTTTCTCCTTATAGGGCCCCTAAATTTTTAAGTAGGCCTCCTTAAATTGTTTGCCCCCTCCAATCCAATGTGTGGGGCAGCCTAGCCACAGCTATACATACCCACTTACATGAAGACACGCATAAAAGGATACTTAAAAACACGAAAACACACATAAAAGGATACACGAAAATTTACATTAAAGGGTACATATAAAAAGATATAAAAATATTGTAACTCTGACATATACTGAAATAGGAAACTTCCAGGGGCTTCAGTATATGCATCAACTGATCCTATACCAGTTGATGTATGTACTGAAATACATGCAATGATTATTTTTTTCCATTATTTTTTTTCTTTTTCTTTTTTTTTCAAAAAAAAAACTGTATGGGTATGCGAATAAAAGAGAAATATTTTGCAAAAAATTTTAGTGATTTAAAAATACCAGATTGTAACAGAAAAAATGCATAGAAACAGTTTTGTAGAACTATTATTATTTATTTTAATAAATAACTTTAATATTTGATACTTAAAATCTCTAGGTGGTAAGTTATGATAAAATAATTTAATTGCTTGATGATAGCAAATAATTGCAAATTTCTTAGAAATTTATACATACTTCCAAAAATAGCCATTCACTACCCTGCCACCGGCAAATAATAAGAATATTTTAGCAAGTTCTGTCAAGATATTGTTTTGCGTCTGCTGACCACAATTTGTAAGGGTTTGCTGTTCAAGTTAAGCAAACAGTTTCATGAAAAAACTAATATCATTTGCAATTAAACTTTTCATTACACATCTTCATATGTGTGCATATTATTGTGGAGGTTGATTCAATAAGTTTGGAATTTTTGTGCTATGTCTACCTATTGCAACTTCTAAAATTTCTTTCAGAAAAGCAAGATACCTGAGCCTGTTATTTCTGTAATCTTTTTGAATGGTTTAAAGAGTAACATGCTTTAATACATAACTATAGCTAAAACAATTTGATGTAACAAATTGTAACAAGATGTAACTCAACAAATGATGCTTGCTATGAAACAACCTGGTCATAAACAAAACAAAAATGCCCACAACATAGTTAACATATGTACTTTATTAAAGGAAGTCGGAACCATCAAAATAACTAATTGTAGCTGAATATTTGGTGCTTTAGCCAAGCGCCTAGCTGCATATTCGTATTTGTTGTTCAGCAAAATCACTATTTGTGGTACCTCTTATAATGATCACAATATAATAGTGATGGTACAATATATAATAACATACAATATAAAATATTGGAAACATATAATGATCTTCATTTTGATAAATTGAGTTTTAAAAATTGCAGACGCTTTACTTATCTGCTGCTTTAAATTTTATTAAATTATTTTAAAACTCACATGGTGCACCAATAAAATACACTGGATGCACTGACTAGACACTGATAGGGATGAACCCAGACCAGTTTTTGTACCGCTGCCAAATGATGAAAATGGCTAAAAGTATTTTTTGTTGTTTTACTTTTTATGTTTTTTTTTTTTTTTTAAATACAAAAAAAGTTTTGGTTTCAAATCATTAAGAAATAACTATTTTTTTGTTTATTTTAGCTAGTTTATTTTTTCTTTAGGACAATAAAGTGGATTAAAAAGTAACATGCCTTCACCCTTTTCAAGTTTAAAATTTTAGTTTGGTTACTAACATTAGATTTGAAAAAATGAATTAAAACTTATTACAAAACTCTATTTGTAGACAATCGAGTTTATGCAAAATTTTTTTTTTTTAAAGATAGAATAATTTTAAAATATTTGTTCAAAGCAAAATTAGTTTTTGCTTGTTGGCAATTAAAAGTTAACTGTTTTTAATAATAAATGAACAAAAGTAAAAATTTTTATTAACAAAATAGTAATCGTGCAAATTTAATTTTTAAATAAATAAACTTTTGATCTGTAGCTTGCTATTTTATTTTATGTTAAGTAAAGGAAAAAACAAAACAAATACTTTTTCAAAAAGTTTTATTTCTCATTATATTCTTTTTAACTTTAATAATAAAAAAAATAATGAATACTAATGTGTTAAACATTTTTTATTTAAAACAAGGCCTGTAACTTAATAAAATTTTTATTAAGTTTTAGTTTTATAAATCTTGAATGTCTTTAATGTTTAAAAAAATTCATAGTAAATGTAACTGATGATAATAAATGTAACTTATTTAATGTACATAATTTTATTTTACTTTAAATCAATAGAATTGCTAATATTTAAATTTAATTGAAAATTAAAATTATAGTAATTCCGTTTATTAAACCTTTATGTTTTGTATGTGAATAGTTTTTTTTTTTTACATAGACAATATCAGTTTGAATGCAAGATGTAAGGGTTTAATAAGTGTAACTACTATTATTTTAATTTTGGATATACTATTCTTAAATACTGATTAGAAATTATTTAAAGTATTTTAAACATTTAATAACAACGAAAATTAAAATTATTTATATATAGTTGCTAAATATTTAACATACTTTAAAGAATATTCAATAAATATTTACAAATGGCATAGTATTTGCAATTTGAACCTTTATTAAAATCTAAGTAGGTTTTCTAAACGTAAATAAAGTAGCAGACACTTACATCCACCCCTAAATTCATGTATTCAAAGAAATGTATTTTAATATGAGACGCTATTTTAAATCATTTTAAATAAAACTTAATAAGGTGAACACAAGCACATTGATTTTTAAAAGTCATTGTTATGGCACCAGTTTCAACTTTGAAGGTGATAAAGGGGAGGTTACCTCAAGAATATCCCCCCTCCCACTTTGATAGGAAACAAAAACGGTATCCCCAAATAAACTCTGGGTTTGTCCTTGACTGGAAGTACTTTCAAGACACACATAATGCACTGACAAAACATACAGGATGAGCTTACAAGACACACTAGTGCGTGGAAAAAGTAAAACAAATAAAAGTTTTTCAAGCATGCAGGGACATTTAAAAGATGTGACTTTGCTGAATCATGTAAGAATGAGATTTGGTTGATGGAGTTGATAGTTCCTCTGAACAGCGACCATGTTAGTATATGTAAAAAAAAAGTGATGCAACTATAAAATTTTTTTCTACAGGTTAAAGGACCTCAGAATGCAGTGGGACCTCAGAATGTCAGGTTGGAAATAAACCAACATAGAACTTGATTTTTTTAAATAAACTCTGAAAATGTTAGATCTGAATAAAGAATATAATGTTAAGTCATAAATAAAAAAATATTACATGTAATCCTAAAAAATAGTCTAAATTACGAAGACGTTGAAAAAAGTCTAAAAGCTTTTAACACATTTTTAAAAATAATTTCAAGCCCTTCGAAAAATGTGCAAAAAAGATGCGTGCGCAGAATAAATCTGATTTTCTTAAAATTGTCTTTTAACATACCTTGCATTTTGAGGTGCTGCACTTAACGTTTTGAGCTACCAAATCAAAAACTATATATTAAACTTATTTTAGACCATTATTTTAGACCAATAGACCAGAAGTGATTACATTTTATAATTTTTTTTTTAATAACATTACCAAACCTAAAAGCAAAATATTATGAACAAAAAATATAAAAATAAGATCCAAGTAAACTTTAATCCAAAATCAGTGAATGGAGAATGCTATGTTATATTCTGGATAAAATCATTTATCAGGCTCAAACTAAAGGCATCTTTTGAGTCCTATTTATAAAATGGTTTGATCATATTCGGTTTTAAGCCTGTTTCACCTCAACGATGCTTTACTTCATGTAGATTTCAAAACATCTCAAAGCTTAGTTGCTGTACAAACATTCTTTTCACATGTGCATTCTTCCTTACATTGATATAATGCCTCAATTTGTGTCTTTATTAGTTTTCTCCTTTTGGCTTTGTCTTCCTTGATTGAAGAAACCCTTTCCAATATTTTTCGGTATTTTCATTAATATACAGCTCAGCTTGTAAAAGTTTATCTTTCTGCATTCACTTAACACTGAGTCCTCCACTTAAAATGCGAACTTTTTTACCTGCATTTATGATTGCTTGTTTCCATGCCCACTCTGGCCATAACTCTGCAAGTATATTCATGAAACCTTTTCTGTTGATTTTCATAATCGAAGAATAAAGTACATTTTTAGCATTTCTGTACTCAGAGAGCAATCAACACGCAACTGCTTTCTCTAACTGCTTACTTTTCATCACTAAGAAAAGTAAGCAGTTAGAATTACTATATCTTAGATAATTGCATCTTGATTTGCTTGTTGGTTCAACTCTAAAGGACTTTTCCATTTCTTATTTATTTTCTACTGTAAAGGAAAATCAAAACTTTTGTACTTGAACTCTACTTTAGTAAACGTACTTTAGTTTAATTTATTTGTTCAAAAACACAAAGAAAAAAAATATACTAAAATTTGTTTTGAAGGAGGTTTTGTGATGAAACTATAAGCAAAATATTCATTTCACAATGACGAGAAGAAATTAATAAAAATGTATATATATATATATATATATATATATATATATATATATATATATATATATATATATATATATATATATATATATATATATATATATATACATATATATATATATATATATACATATATATATATATATATATATATATATATATATATATATATATATATATATATATATATATATATATATATATATATATATATATATATATATATATATATATATATATATATATAATTAACTTTCATTTACCTAGCGTTTTGATGTCCCTCAACCTAGCATTGTGTGGTGGAATGCAAAAAGGATAAAAGATAAGTAAACCATATATTTCAAAACATATTTAGCATTGAAAATAGATAATATATGCAAAAATTCATGATTACCTAAGCAATATTGGTAACAATACTACCTATTATTTAACCTGATGTTCTGAGGTCCCTAATGAAATAAGCATGTTCTAAATTCTTATCAAAAGACATGAAAACTTTAAAAAACTGCTAAAACCATTTGGCAATCTAACAGGAGTATTTTTTCAACTCTCAAAGATAAAAACAAAGTATATGCTCAAATATTTGGATCTTAGCAGAATCTTAAAAAGCACCTAACATTCTGAGATCCCTTTACCTGTAAACAAAAGTTAAAAATTATTATTCTTTATTCTTTTTTTTTTATTCATTCTTTTCTTCATTCTTTATTATTTTACTCTTTATCTTTCCTTTGTAGATTTTTAAATATGAATTTTACAACTTTTTAAATTTTTTTGAATTATTAGATCATATGGTATAGATGATCCTTATCAAAAAAATCTTAGAAAATTTGAACATCCTTGGTTTCAAACTTTAATAATGTTTGCAGGAGAAGCACTTTGTCTCCTGGGTTTCTGTTATTCAAGGAGAAAAGATGCACAATTATTAAAAATGCAGGTAAATTATCTTTTAAAAGAATAAATTTTTTTTCTTTCTAAATATACAACTATGATAAATCAATTTAATTTTTTATGACGTGTTTAAAAGCTACTTTAGCAGGCTTGGTCCGGAAGCTGGTGCGATCGCACTCGATAATTGACCACGGAAATAATATTTAGTTGCGAAAAACTGAAAAACAAACAAAAAAGCGCAATAAGATTAACTGGACCGATGAGAGACAGTTAAAAAAAGAAAAATAGCTTTTAACAGGATAAAACTTTTTGCAAAATAAATACTATTAAATCAAATATTTTTGAAACTCTTTTATAATTTTTTTTGTAAAATTAAGTGACATTTTTTATATAAAGTAACAACTTACTATTAATGATTGTTTAATAAGGAAACAAATATTCTCTGATTTATCAAAGAGTATATATAATTTTTATTTATATACTCATGTCTTATTTCCAGTGCTGGATTTAGGAGGTGGGGGGGGGGAGTAGAAGGGCTATAGCCTCGGTACTCACAATGTTAATGGCCGCAAAAGAGTCAAGAGGACCATTAGGTATTTTTTTCAGTCATTTTTACGCTGTGGCACATAAAAAAGGCCACCAAAATAATGCAGTCCCCGGCCCTGAAAAGTCCAACAAAATTTAACCAATAAAACTAACGCTATAAATAAAAAAGTTTTTCAATAACTGTTTTATGCTTCGTGTAGTTTGAAAGTTTAACACATTTGAGTTACTGTAGAAATTCAATTATTGAGTTACTGTAGAAATTCAATTAGCTAAATAGAAATTAACTAAAAACGTAAAACTAAATAGAAATTAACTAAAAACTAAATTACTATGTGAGTAGGAAGCAGACTGCTTCACAATACCGCTGATGATGGGCTTTATAATTTTAATTAGTATTTAAAACAGAAAAAAGTAACTTTAAGTTCAAGTATAACGAGTTTGTAAACTGGAGTGGAATATATAATTTTATGCCAGTTACATCTCGTAGATCTAGATCAAAGATTGAAGTGCCTGATCAACCTAAACAGGCATACATAGCCACTTTGTCTCTTTCGTGTGAAAAGTTCAAAGACTTATTAAAGCTATAAAATTTTGTAAGTGAACAAAATAAGCCATTCTTTGATCAATTGCCAGTTGATAACTTACTTGTTCAGGAATCTGAATCAGAACAATTCTCAGATTCAGAGTAAGAAAATTTAAAAGATTGTTATTGTTATTTATATTTTACTGAAAAATGTACTTTATATTTCTTCAAAAATTAAAAAACCATTTATTTTATTAACAGTTTCTTTACATCAGGGTGTTTGTCTGGTTCATACAAACTCAATACAAAGTGATATATTACAGAAAATATGATAGATAGATATGTTTCAGGAAAGTAATGGTTGCAAGTGTAGTTTTTATAAAGCTTAATAAAAATTCGAGATCTGTTTGATTTGAGTTTTTTTTTTTTTTTTTTTTTCATAAGAAAGGAAGAGGGAGGTAGGGCTTAACATCCCCTCACAAACATCTAAGTAATTTGTGGTTGCATATATTATACTACCATTTAACCTTTAAGCAAAGTAAGTGCTCTAAAAGGTTACAAGCTAACGGAATTTATGAGTTGATGAGTTTACAACGGAAAAACCACAGATGTCCAAAATCAGTGTCTTGTTTTCAAAAGAACGCTGTAAATAAATAATTCTTGTATTTAGCACAAATTTTTATTTGTTATAAATATATAATATAGGACTGTATTCACTGTCTTGAAAATGTACACTTTAACATTAATTTTTAAAAAATTAGTTTAAAACGCTACGTTTGTTAAAATCTGGAAGATTCTGTATTCAGAAAGCATCACTAATTTACCGAATAGTCGGTTAACCGCAAATTGATGAGAACTGTTATCCGGTTTTTGAAACGGATAACCAACAAAATCACTATATATATATATATATATATATATATATATATATATATATATATATATATATATATATATATATATATATATATATATATATATATATATATATATATATATATATATATATATACATATATATATATATATATACATATATATATATATATATATATATATATATATATATATATATATATATATATATATATATATATATATATATATATATATATTTATATGCAAGAGTTTGTTAAGTTGCATATCTTTTTTTTTTTTAAAGTTATCAATTTTAATTTCTTGAACTCATCAGATTAATAGATTTCTTGAACCTGGTGTGTTTTTTAAATTTTAATTAAAATATAACTTAACGTATATCTACTTTTTACTATACTTTTTTGTTTCTCATTACATTCACACACTCTACGATTTCACGACTGATAAGTTTAAATATTATTGATTTAATGTTTAAATGCCATTAATGCCATTATTGATTTAATAATAACCCATATTATTACATATTAAAGTTTAATTTGTTGCTTACTTCTAGTTATTATTATTGTTGTTGTTATTATTATTATTTTTATTATTGTTATTAATATTATTGTTATTACAATAATTATTATTATTAACAATACAGATATAATTTCTAATTTGATGTTTACTTAAGAGTATTAATTTATCTATTATGTTATTAAGTTATTAAGTCTATTGTATTGTTAAATTTTGGTTGTAATTCTAAACTTTTTCAGTTTTTAATTTAAAATTTTTTTACTTTTGCATTAGCTGCTTATTGACCAAGATAGTACTAATGTAATAAAGCCAAACAGAAAAGGAAATAGGTATCTAGATTTAAAAATATTTGTATAGATTAGAAACATATTTTATTATTACTATAAAAAATATATATAAATTAAAAATATAATCTTTTTAAACTTTTGTAAAACATGTTTTATACTATTAGACATTATCCAGTGCCATATCCAGTCATAGTTTGGGTGGTACCAGTGATGAAATTTCGTCAAACCCCCTCCCCCACCTTTAAAAAAAAAATTTGCAATTTTTTTAATAGTTATGTATTTGAAAAGCCTCTACTGTAAATGAATTTTTAAAAATGGTTTGTTTAACTCTGATTAAATGTCTTTAAATACACATTTTAGACATTTTAAACACAACTTATATTGCTACTTAAGTTCAGGCCATGTTAAGAAGCATTACGCAGTTTGTACTTTACAAACAAAATGGCGACTTCACCTAAACATTCAGCAATTTCCATTAAGCAAAAGCTTTTATCTATTGGAATATTTATTGTTTATAAATTGATGTTTATTGATTATAAGGTGAAATTAATTATTGTAAAAAAAAAACATGTTTGACCACATTAGATTATTTATATAATTTAGATAATTATTGTAAAAAAAAAACATGTTCGACCACATTTGTGAAATAAATTAATTTTTGTTTAAAAAAATGGATGTTACATAGTTATTATTTTTATTTAAAAACTTCAAAAAAATATGATTTTGAAAATTAAAAATTTAGTTTTAACTTTGAAAGAGTGTAAAATGGTTTTACAATCTTAAATTCTTAAAGAATCTTAATTCTTAAAGAAATAATTGTTTCTTTTTTATTTACAAACTAATTTATTACGTAAAAATATTAAGATTTTGTGATATCATAGATTTAAATGTGTAAATACAACCATAAAACTTCATTATTTGCTTTAAGAAAGGGGAAGTGTTTAAGAGATTTTTTTTTTTCTTATGCATTTTGAACTTTTTGTTTTGTATTTAATTATCATGTATCAACAGAAACCTTTTTGATAAATTACAGCTAAGCTCTTAAATATGCAGATTTGTAAATCATTTTACAATTGATGATGCCTATTGATATAGATGAAACATTTTATAAAAAAGTTTTAAAAAGATTGTATTTTTTATGAAAACGATAATAAAATTAGTATAATTATATATATATATATATATATATATATATATATATATATATATATATATATATATATATATATATATATATATATATATATATATATATATATATATATATATATATATATATTAATAGAAATTAGTAGAAAATTACTTAACAAAAACTTTTTTTTATTTAACACTGTGTTTCATCAATAAAGACTCATCAGAAATAAATGATCAAATTAATAAAACTTTAATTTATACCAAATATTAATTTTTTTTAATTGTTAATTCACCTTCTCAAGGCTGAGTAGGCAACTACAGACGAGGAGGCTACTTATTTGCGGTTATAACCCTCTCTCAACTCTATAACTCCAAAACATGAACCTTGACAAACCCCGCTGCCGGAAGAAATGAGTTGTTATTACAGGAAGTCGCAATTTTGAATTTTCAAGTCGCAAGTCAAAATTACAGGAAGTCAAAAATGTCTTAACTATTGATTGCTTATGATTGCTTATGGTTGGCGAAAAGATTTTTCCATTCACTCTCTGTTATGCCAATACATTGTGTATCAGGTTTATTCTTAGAGAAAACAACACATTTATATACCACATTTTTTGATAAACAACTTCCACTCATTAGACAATTGTTTTTTGTTTACAATTTTGTTGTTGTTGTTTAACAAAGCATTATTGTGACCTTTTATAATTCTTTCCATATTTTTTGTGCAAATGTAGCTAACTTTAATTGTATTTTGATTAAAAATTTTATGTAACTTTTTCCCCATCATAAGCAGGGTTGGAAAAAAACCAGGATTTTTTAAAAAAATCCAACCCAAATGTTTTTTTTTTGAGTTTTATAGGTTTTTTGGGTTTTTTTAAAAACTGATCAAAATACCAAATTAAGGTCTGAAGTTCCCGAAAAACGGTTCTTCGGTTCTTCGGTATTTTTCGGGAAATCGAAAGGAATCGAAGGTTTCGGTTCCTTATCAGAATAGGAATCGAAAAGAGCCGAAGTTATCGGTTTCTTATAAAAAAGGAATCGAAAAGAACCGAAGTTATCGGTTCCTTATCAAAATATGAATCGAAAAGAATCTAAGTTATCGGTTCTTTATCAGAATAGGAATCGAAAAGAACCGTAAATTGATTACTAACCTTTTTTTTAATAATATACTTCCGTTATAATCAATATTTTCGATTCTTTTCAATATTTTCAATATTTTCGGTAATTTCGATTCTTTGTCATAAAAACGGTAAATTTCAATTATTAATTAAAAAATCAATTTTATTGTAAAGAATCGTTTTTATTACAAATAAGTTTTAATAATGGCGTGCAAAATTAAATTCAAATTCATTCAAATTTAATTTCTCTCCCCTAAGGGATTAATTAAAAAATCGTTTTTATTGTAAAGAATCGTTTTTATTACAAATAGTTTTAATAATGGCGTGCGAAATCAAATTCAAATTCATTCAAACTTAATTTCCCTCTCCTAAGGGATTCCCCTTTACCAGTATAGATAGTGGTGTTTTGTGAAAATCTAATCAGTTACAATTTATTGTTTCACAAACAACTCTTTACAACAATTTACAATAATGTCTCAAGTTAATAATGCAATTTGGAATTACTTTACCAAACTACCAGAAGTGACAGTGAATTCTGACACCAAAAAGAAAACTTATAAATCAAGTTGTAATCAATGTCAAGCAGTGTTAACTTGCTGCCATGGAAGTACATCAGGAATGAGTAAACATTTAAGGTAAGTAATGTTTTTTCAATTTTTTCGGTAATTTCGATTCTTTTCAATATTTTCAGAGTTTTTGCAATTTAAGTTAATTTTAAGTAAAGATTTACTTTATAAAAAAATAAAAAAATAACAATAGTTCTGAATAATTAAATAAACATAAGCACTGATTATTATTTATTATACAGTAACAGCTAACAGTAATACTGTTTGTTACATTTAATTTAATATAGCGCCATCTATAGGAGTTATTTCAATTTTTTCGATTCTTTTCAATATTTTCAATTATTTTGGTAATTTCGATTCCTATCCCTATAATTATTTAATTTAAATCTTTTTTTATACAGATCTCAGCATCACATTCAAGCCAAAGCATATATTAAGGCAAAGAATGACAAGGTTGTGCAACTGGCTGCTGACAGGGAGGAAGTTGAAAAGGAGCTTGATAGATCTTCAAGTTTGAGAGGTTTCTTTCCAGCCACAACCACTAGTAAAAAAAGGCTGGATAACCTTAGTAAAAAGTCTCCACCATCCAGTCAGCAAGGTGATCATGAAAAACTTCAAGTAACTCTGGATGAGTATGTTAAGGTGAGAAAAATATTGAAGTTTTTTAGTAGCTTAAATAATCGTTTTTATAACATTTTACCGTTTTTATTTGTAAATATTCGAATCAAAATCAAGCCCAAATTGGTAAATTGAAAAAAATATTTCTTCAAAAAAAACTCGGATCTTTTAGGCGCCGTTTGGGCCATGCAGAAAAATTTTTTTTTCTCAATTTACCAATTCGGGCTTGATTTTGATGAAACTAATGTTAGAAATCTATTTTTATATTAAATTAGAAACTTTTGTGCCCTTTTCCAAATTTATAATATACTTTAAAGTTTAATAACTCTGTAAATTAATAAAAAGTTAAATTTCCACACTAGACAACAATTTAATGATTCCAAATTAATGTCCTTTTTGCTCTAAACTCAATATTAACAAAGTTATTGAGGTTTAAAGTTTTTGATTTGACCTGTCACCTAACACGTGCATGTAGATTTAGTAAACACGTGTTTTTCAAACGTTTCAAAACTTTAAAGGCTTTTAACTTTAAACTTCTTTGTTTTAATAGATAGAGTGATTAGCACTGTCTCTAGAAACTGCAACAACTTACCCATATATATTAGGTTGTCAGGTCTTGTTTAACGTAATTTCGATTCTTTGCGGTAATTTCGATAATTTCGATTCCTTTCGATATTTAACATTTTTTTTATTATTTCAGATAACTAAATGGGATTCACAAAGCAGCTGTCAGCTTGATTTTGATACAGTTCTCACTCTGGCCTGCATCATGTCAAATCTTCCTTTCAATATTGTGGAAACTCCAGGAATGAAGTTGCTCTTGAACTATTTGGCACCAAAAGCAATCATAAAAACACCAAAAACACTTGCTACAACAAAGCTTGACATGATTCATCGTAATGTTGAAAAGGCAATAACCAATCAACTTGAGGAAGAAGTACCAGAATGTGAAAGTGTAGCTTTTACATCAGATGGTTGGACTGCAAAAAATGGTGATCCTTTTGAATCTCTCACACTCCATTACATCAACAGTGATTTTGAGTTGAAAAAGTACAGTTTGGACTGCCAGGCTCATTTAAATAGGAAAACAGGTCCTTTACTTGCCAAAGGATTAGACACTATGATTTCAAAATATGAAGTCTTGGCAAGGCCTGACCTAGAAAGAACATGTGTGACTGATGGTGCAGCTAACATGAAGGCAGCTGTCAGTTTAGAACTTTATTGGACAAGCAATTGGTGTGTGTTGATCACATGTTGAACAATTGTTTGAAAGACACATTAGGAAATGGTGAGGTTAAGGTAATTGTTGATAAGTGCAAGAGACTTGCTCAAAGGACACATCAAAGCACTAAGGATTGGTATGAAATCAAACAAGAATGTGAATCTCTAGGGTGTAATCCAATCAAGCTAATCCAACCAGTGCAAACAAGATGGAATTCAAATGCAATGCTGTTCAAGTCAGTGTTAAGAAATGAGCAAGGTTTGAAGTCTGTCAGAGATAACAGCCTGAATGCAAACTTGACAATACTTATACCAAGTGATGAAGATTTTCAAGTAATTGCAGAACTTCATCCTTTCTTGGCAAAATGTCAAGAATACTCAGAGA